CAGAGGTAATTACTCACTTGGACATATTGGCGTTTAGATTCTGTATACGTTTACTAATCATTTTGCCTAACGCCTAACACAACTTGGACTGTGTACGGTCTGAGTTGTTTGGAATGATTAATTGGCAACTTAAGAAGCCACGATGCTTAGCATATTCGCACCATGCAACACAGAGTCTCGGTCGATTAACGAAATTAAGCTACGCTGAGTTCGGATCTTCGGGTTATAAAGAGTGTTGCTGACATCTTTGCTGTGTAGCATTCGTGGGGCAGCGGAAACCTCGTCGTCTGCGATGCTCATCGGTTGTCTTTGCAGGCTGGGGTGGTGGGCTCATTCCCACTCTTGGACACGGTTTTCGTGGTGGTGTGACCTTCCTACTTTCGTAGTCTTGTACAAACAAACTGCAGTTACAATCCTATATTTGGCCTCAATAAAGGTCGTCCCCCACTTGTTCGCGTTCGCACTTTTACACAACTCCCATTTTCATGAGACCGAATCCCGAGTCGCTCGAATCTAGCCAGTTGCAATTCGGGCCATGTGAGTCACCATCTACGAAATTTCATCTTTTTTCGTTCGCAGGAGGATGTCTAAATAGGCGAGTTTTTGATATATCTGTAAAATCAAGCGCGTAGAATGCAATTAAGCATAGTTGTTAAACAAGGCAGAACAAAGTTTGAAAAATTTAAAATACAAAACGCATTTATGATGTTATTTGGAAATTAAAGTTCTTCTTCCATATGTGCCAGAAATGGGGAATCTTTGTACTGCAGAGGACCACGTTCAGAATGAATCCAAAGTCTGAAGGCACAAACAGTCGGCCACTTTAATGTATCAGGAGCCATCATAAAAACTGCTAGCAGTTCAGGAAGGCGAGAGCAGCAAGCGCCGTATGCATGGCCAGTTAGGAAAACAAATTTCATCCATTTTGGGGTAATTCTTCCAATATGTTCGTCTCACAATATTGCCGCCAAAATTGGTGACTGTGGACCAGTTTGATGCATTGGCATTTGCAAATGCGGCCTCTTGTAGAGTTCACAACCATCACGATGTGGATTCAGGTGTACCGATGCAAATGCCCCTAGATTTAATTTTCAGTTCTCAAGATTGCTTCCAGTGCGCGTGGCGTTCGCCCCGACCTCCACGAGTAAGAAGACAGTGACCGGGGTATTGACATTGGGTGAAGAGGGGAAAAATACATATCCAAGCCGAGGAAAGTGACTACTGTAAGCCACCTAAGGTTTGTCTTGTGAGTGTGAGTAACATGAACGTGCAATTTTAGGAAACACTAATGTAAAGAGTTTATAGTATTTTCTGAAATGTTGCAGTTTTATGCTTCCAGAGGCAAACTGGACACCAGAAGCAATTGTTCCCCGGTACAAATTTAAAACAAGCGTAGACAGCAGAATTTATTGATACCAAAAATTGTGCGGCGGCTTTTCATTTGCATTCCGTCGTTGCATGAGTCAGATAACGATTAGAACTACGGGATGTAGGAGATAAGCTGTCGCGAAATTTTTTGAATCCGATAAATTCCCATTAGATAATTCAGAAGAAAATTTTGGCGAGGGTACACTCTCGGTAAATTCTCGTCAGGCCATGCATGCACAGGGGAGATTAAAATTTTAAAAAA